AAATTTATATTACTCGTTAAATATTGTTCAGTAATTACGACCATCCTGGTATCCCTTACAATATGAAAACTTTAGTATCCAGTAGCGACCTCTAAACCCTAATCAACTTTAAAAAAAATTACATACACTCTACATCTTTCAGATAGAAGAACTAAATAATACGGTGCCCCGATATAAGTTTAAAACTTCAATTTTAAGAACCACCCTAATGTTCTTAGTATAGGTAGTTTCAATTAATGTACTTTGTCATTTCTGGGGGCTGATGATAAAATAAGGGATATAAATGCAGACATGTTTATAACCGGATTATTAATACCTATAGCTAAGTGTTTTCTAGAAATCCCAGTTTGAAGCTTCAACCACGAATTCTATAGTATAGGTAAAATTTGAGTCGAGGTTCATTACTAATACAGATCCTAGTAATTAGTGGGTCTGTAAAACAATCTTTCTCTATACGGATTCGAATGATACTTGTCTTTTTTCGTTCTAGAGTCTAGAGCTTTAATCCAGAGAACCCTCGGCGTTTGTTAATTTTACAGGACACAGCCCACAGTGGGAACACGTCAACCCAGATTTGCTAAACACTCCGTACGAGTTGTTGCGCGAAACTCCATACATAGATAGAGTAAATATATATCGATTCTTGTGTTTGTATGTCTTCCTCTCGCTTTGGCAGAATGGAGGAGACGCGTTCAATCGAGGCTTTGATGTATAAATTGCAGCTTTCTCGTTTTCGATCCCACCTCCCCATCTAACTTTCTACTCCCTTTACTGGCACGATTCCACCATAGAGACGAAAAGGGTATCCCGGCGTCTATCACTTCTGCTTTTCTTTTCCTTGTGGACAATCGTTCCCGAGAACTATCCAAGCGTTTATTCCTCTCAAGATTCCGTTTCATTCTTTCCCCGATATTTCTAACAGTTCTAAATTCAGTCAGCTATATTTTTTTTAGTTTTAGTAGAATCAGCACAACGAGTAACACTTAAACAGTAATACCACAATAGTATTAAAACGAGGCATTCTGATACGTGGTGCAATCGTATCCATGGTAGAAATGTACAAGAGTTGATTCCTTGCACGAAAGTAACTAGAAAATATAAAATAACTAGAAATATAAAATTCTTTGTTCGAAGTTTTGTTTCCGAGAAAATTAAATTTGCAAAATTTGTATCCTGTTCAATATTACTTGGTTGGCGTGGTTATTCCTTACATACTGTTTCTACTTACAATCAACGTAAACTACTGGTATAACTCCCGTCCATAAGTCACTGGACACTTAAGCTACTTAACTTTACTGACCATGAAATAAGAAAAAATTACAGTTAAAAAGTTACTAAAATTATGAAATAAACAAATTCTTATTAATTCTATACATTGCAGAGAAAATGTAAATTATATTCAGTGTTCTCAACAATCTTAAATGTCTGTCTCATTCAGGAATATTCATCAAAATGTATCGTGGCACCTACACATTAACTTTTTTCAAATAATTCTCTCCTGGTTCCATTGAAGTCAGTTCCATCGGTAATCACTTCCACTCGTTCCTCGTGAATCTTGTCACGTGTTCTCAATCTTTTTAGAAATTATTTCCAGAAATATGCTGTCGCATTAAATTGGCACAACTGTAGATAATGTTACAAAATTTACCGCTGATTAGTATTTAGTAATTTTGAATAAGTTACGTTTATAATATCACTACCTTACCGAAAAATAGTATAAAGCGAAACTGTTTCAAAACAACGCATTTATGTTTTGATTTATATTTTACTGAAAATAATCAAGTGTCCGGTAATTTATGGACGGGAGTGTACTAACGTGTATCGGATGAATTTTCAACATCGATTGTTTCGAAGACCAAAGTTCGTACAGAATAAAGTTATTTTACAATTTCAACATATTTTTGCACGAGCTATCAGCTCGTATTCATTTGTATCATCAATACTGCCACACGTTGTATAATTATTGTAAAATATTTTTCTTTTCGAATTTGTAAAGAATATTACATCCCAAGAATACGTAGACCGTTTATTCTTGTTCTTTTCATTATGATTAAGTTTTTCCAATGTTTTTCAGTCAATTGTAATTCCTACAAACACAATATTTTGAGTTAGTACTCAAAATTCATATTAGAATACATACATAAAGCAATATTCGTGGTACTTTAAAAAATTACAACGTTCTATACATGTAAAGTTTTCCTTTTAAAAGCGACAGCACGCAATCCCTAGTTTCCTAAAATTTTCTAAAAAATTATGTACTTAATATTTATGTAAACCCACATAAACCTGCAAACTCATATGACTTCATTTTTTAAATACAGTAATAAAAAGTCTTCGCTTTCGTACTGTTTGTATACTTATACATATTTTTTTAAGTAAAAAGTTATTATAAACAACATTTAGATTTACATGAAGCCTTTTTATTCAAGCTGCACTTTACAAAATATTAGGTTGTTGCCCATAAGATGGTCGCTTTAGTTCTGCATTTGATTTTGTATTAAACATTATATGTACGAATTTTATTAGATGTTTTCATTGAAATACAAGTGTTACATTCATGTTATATTCATTAGATAATTACTTGAAAAACACTTTTACCTGTCATCTTTTCGCCGAATGGTGAAATCACTAAATAGTATTTTTTAGTAGAAACATACATAGATGCATCTTTATGAAGTTTATTTATGAATTTGGTTTAAATGTTTATCTTCCAATGCAACTAGAGAAAATAGCCGAATTTTACTGAGATTAATTCTCTATCTCAGTTAAATTTAATATTTAACATAATTGATTTTATTGCTATTTTAGATAGTACCTTGAAACGAGTAGAGTACACTATGTAATTGTGTAACAATAAAAGGAACGTTGTTAATTGAATGTTGATAATTTTCATTCATAAAAGTAACACCAAATATATCTATCAGTAAAATCGATCATTTCGTGTGCAACAACCTAATATTTGTGTATATGAAATTTTATGTATCTATACACGCTACAAATCTGTAGTAATTAAAATTGTGTAGTACTGGTCTTATAGATACGAGTCATCCTTATTTAAACCCAGCCAAAATGTTCGTTTAATATCGATTTAACGCCACAGACTGGTCACCCGTCTCTTATTCAACCTCACGACAACTCGAAACCGATTAATAAAAGGAATGGATCGCGAATTGAGAAACGGTCTCTGCCGACGCAAGGCCATCGCGGCTTAGTAATTTAATCAGCTAAAACTAACATCGGCTCTGTTTCCCCAACCCTCTTCGTCCTCAACCGCCTCTTTCTTCTCCCTACTGCTCTTCTTACCTCCGTAACCGACCAACCCCAAGATGATTTAATCTCCTAAAATGGTGCAGGTACCTATAGGCACTTAGGCCCCGGGGTCGCGACACGAAACAAAATAATTCAAGAAAGTAAGTGTATCTCCTGCGCGACAGACAGCATATCCCCTATATTGTGAAATTTACTTTGGAACTTGCTATGAATGCAATTACTCGAAATTTCTTTGACAAAAAGAAATAACTTTTCTATTATATGTATACATCTTCGACAAGATACCACCAACAGCAACATTCTCCAGTGATCTAGTATATTTCTTTGAAAGTCAAATCTTCGCATAAAGTTGGAAAATATATTCGCCGAATTTTTCATTATTGTTCTCTATCCGTGTGTTTATCTAATGGCCACAGCCGCATTCAATCCTGCACACACATCGTAGGCGCGAATCGCTATTCGTAGGAAGGCGTCCCAGCCGAAAGAACACCCTCGAACGCATAAAGGACTTATCGTCGCTCGTGATCGGCCCGTGTATTTGCGTTTGCTCGAAGGTTATGATCCTTCTTTGCACGCTATCACCGCACCAGGATCTACGGCCCTATGTACAGGGTCACAACACGTGGTTCGCGGACCGTGCGCAGGGTTTGCCACGTGGCGCAGATAACAGGATGGGGCAGACGCGCGACGGTGGTTGCTATCCCGAAGGGGTAGGAATCAACCCCCCGGAAAATTAAGTGCTTGTAGCTCAGATGATAACAGCGGTAGGAACGCGTCACTGCGTCTACTTCGCGAGAGTTTCGTCGCGCATAAATGGTAATCAAAAGGGAAGAAACACGATAATTTACGGATCGATTGTTCATCAAGTTTCTTCTCGTCAATTGGAGCACGTTAAATAAGTGCAATTTTCATATTTAATCGATCACAATAAAATATATCAATATCAAGGTGTATGAAATAATTCCCGGGAAGACTTTTTTACTACGCCACTGGAGAGAAATACCAAATATAACCTATGATAATTTAATAGTTTGACTTTGGGAAAGTTTTTCCAGGAAGTATTTGATATACCCTCGTAAGTTAATACGTAAAACATAATATTGTGATTACAATAAATAATGATAAATCAAATCAACTATTTTCACGATGACCATAAATACTAAAACAATAAATTGCAAATCGCAGCAAGCTGATTAAAATAGTGTCGTATCAGTTTTATTATGTTCCTTATGCCTTAATCGTACTTGAATTCGGTTGTTTTTATTAAAGCAAAACCAGGCGCAGGGGAATTTCATAGGACGTTTAAAATTTTCTATTACACATGGAATCGTCTACTTTTCACTTGTTCCAAGGATCGTTACGATATTATCTAAAACTCAATACAAAAAATATTTCGGTCGAATGAACATTTTTAAATTTTTTATATTCAACAAACCTTTAAAACGGATGAATAAACATATTCGTATCCAGTTGCATTCCACAAACACTCTCTACAGTACAAGAACTTTTTGTCTATGTCCAAACGAGAATACAATGCGTAGAAACTATTACAATTCCTTTCAAAGTGTTCACATTGTATCCTTATTACTTCTTATCTTCATGTAATTATTTGTAAAACCATTTTCATCCCGACGCGAGATTGTGTGAACCAATTAAATTTTTTCATTCCCAGCGCAACATGAATGATTATACATAAAATGCAAGGTACGACTATAAATGTTATTACTCACCTGTTTCGTCGCAGAGTCAATAAGCCTAACATAAATATCTTGCACTTGTCTGACACCTGTAACAGAAGTAATGAATGGTATAAGACAGGGTACCTCCAAATTCAGTCAAAACGAACAATTAGGGTTTACATGAAGTTGTGATAAAAGTCTAACTATAACGATATAACATCGCTGTTCTAAATCAAATACCCTAATACAACTAGTGTGTCTATATCTCACAATGTGAACATACATCACAATAATTTATGCAACTTTCAAAACCTAATACTAATGCCATATTCGTTTCACATTGCGGAACCAAAAACGGTTTCACGTTGTTTTTTCCACTTGATATAGAGACAGCAGTAGGTACTCCTTATTCAATTTAACCCACGACTTTTTCAATTATCCGGTAAGAAGGCCCATTAAATTACGAACGTTGCGCGCAGGCATTTGCGACGGATGTGCATGGAATACGACGAATACGGAAACGAGTCCAAATTCTGACAAGTTGGGCGCCGCAGAAAGGGACTGTCCCAGAAAAACGTACATATTAAGGAGCATTTAAGGTGGACGACGAGGCAGGCAGCCCGATCGCATCCCCCGGGGACGTATGCACAATCTCCGTGGTTTTTGCATGGGCCCAGCCCGTACTTTGTGCGATCGCGTACCGACTTCACCGAGGAGATCGCTATGCAACGAGCCAGAGTAGGAACGCAAATTCTTGTACGTGTAATGCGTTAATTATTTTTACGACTTTCGTTGTACGGTGCTCACGCCGCTTCAGAGAATTTCGTAGCCGTAAAATTGATTCTACATTAACCCTTAAATGCATAGTGTTGCCATTTGGCAACATGCCCATATTTCCCAATGTAGTAAATACATAAACACATACTGCATGGTGTATTCGAAATATATACATATGTATATGTATACCACCATGGTATACAGTATCGGAATACATGAACTGAGGGAGCGTGTGTCCACAAATGCACTCTCACAAGAAGTAAAGTAAAACTAAGCTGAATATTGGCCTACAATGGAAGACTCAAAAATGTGTAAATTACCTACATACAATTGGCTTTACGCATACAAAATACGAAAAGTACGGAGTTGCACTATGTCTGAACAGAAATAATAACTATTTCAGAGATTCTCGCGATAATTAGTTTGAGATTTGCTTAGATATTCTACATATTCTACATACACTTATTCAAATAAAACAATACACGAAAATGAGACGGAATTTTTTCATTATTTTACCATGGTTTTATGCCTTATAAATAAACAATTTTAAATGTTTGATTATATTTGGAAAAATCACGAATTTAAGAGTTAAAATAATTTTAAACATTAAAATCCTACCTTAACACTTCCGTGACTTTCGCAACATGAATGATGCAGTCATTAAATTTTGAAATCTAAAAAAGGATCCTCGTAGTTTATAGGTTCTACTTTTAAGCTTTCGACAACTTTAACACAGAACTTTCATTCCGCGAAAGCTTATTTATCGCGAAGGGTAATATTGTAACCTTTCTCAGCTAAATTTGACGTTTATACGCACACTTGGAATGTACACGCGCAACACTATAATTGTGCAAAATTGCTGCCATTAACGACATGCTAGTTTATCAATACCGATTCACTAACCTGGCACTCGAGGTTTATTACTCCGAGCAAGCAATTCTCTATCGCGTGATCATCTTTCGTATGCATTACCGCATTATTACTATCCGTTATCGGTGGCCAAACTATGTTCAATGTGCACACACACACATTCCGACGTAGCAAGTTTTCGAAACCGTACCCTACCATCCGCAGGGAGCACCAGGTAATCCCAGGGAGTATTTTGGACAGACACCCCCCGTGGCTTCCGGCCTCGCGTATCCGGTAAGCCAAGTAATCCCGACATAAGACTCCCATGCGCGGTGGCTACTATGGGCCAGACTCACGCCGCATAACGTTACCGTGGATTACGATACTCCGGCCGAAACTAACTCACAAATTACCTCGAGAAACCGTCGCGGCTTTGCCGGAAGATACTTGCCGTGCCCCGACGGTTTGCCGCTCTCGCTATCTGGTCAGAGCGTACCGATGTCAGGATTTGTTTACGAACGATAGATTTTCATCGTTCTACCGACTGATCGAAAAACTTTTAACACGGAAATTTACGTAGATGTTAAATTAGTTTTGACAAAATAATGATCGAGTGTTATAGGACTCGACATTCTAGGAACTGAAAGGAGTGTCAAAGTCCGTCATAAGCAGCTCTGAAAAGAATGTAATTGAATTTCTTCTTATAATTGTTTCACTTGTTAGTTTTTCGTTTTTTTTGGAGACACGTGCATAAAATAACAAAGAGAATCAGAACACACCAACATAGGGTTTTTGTTTACCTTTAACAATGATTGGACAACTCTCCACGCTTTGATTAGACAACTTTTAGTGATCTGCACTGCCAGACTGGTGAACTGAAGCTGCATTTTGCTTAAGCTCGGAAAATGGATCTGGACCCCATGGTGGTGTCTTTTTTTTGTTTATTTTCCAGTTACTTTATTTACATATATCAAACAAAATTTTAAAATAAAAAAATTTAAGAACAAAGTTATTTATATGCATTTTCAAAACTGTCTATGAGGAACTTTGACGTTATTTTTTTGAGCGATACTGAATTGTCAAAGTGAATGACACTTGTTTCAGTTCTTAGTAGGTCGAGTCGAGAATGTAGTTAACTTCTCTTGTAAGAATCTTCGTTGATACTGTCTTTGTACTGCAAGACTCTTACGTTCTTAGGAAGTGATTTAATATTAATTTGATTGTAAGAAACGCGGTAAATATACTTCTTTCGTATGCAGTGAATGTTCAGTGTAATATGACGCAAGCGAAGGGTGAAACATGGGACACGTAGATACAGTAGATCAAAAAAGTTTCCTTACACAATTATTTCATTTTTTCTAATTTCTACAATAATACTGATCCCATCACCAGTCATGCATTATTGCATGTTAAAAAACGATTAGAAGTATACGACGAGGAAGAGATTTCTTTTATTTTTTAAGAAATAAGGAAACGGTAAAATAAATTAAATTTTGAGCAAATAACTATTAAAACAATATACTTTCAATCGCCTGTTACACGTAAAGGAGCACCAAGGAAGATATTACAAAGTCTTTTGATTTTATAATATACAAATTTGGCGCTTATATTGCAACGTAATATTTAAATTCGATTTAATAGAAAACTACTAAAGATAATACTACCCTTTATACATATACGTAAATAATTAAACATTATATAAAAACATGGCATTATCATTATTATTTTGAAAATTGCATAGATGAAAATAATATCAGATCAGCTGTACAGAAATACTTCATTTATTATACATATGTATATTCCGTATCCCACTGCACGTGTTAACATATTAAACGACAATAAACACTAGTATTTATTCGTATTGTAAATTTTACTGTTTATTCTTTTCACACCGCTTTGCTAGACAACCTAAATAATTCCAATGGATTTTAACTAATATTATAACCATCTACTTGCCACATAGTGTTTAGTATTTTATGCAGATTCAATATACATACATATATAGCAATATTTATGAAAGCTTTATACTGAAATCTGTCTGCTTTAAACAATTGACTCATTACCACTGTCACTATCACTTTACCATATTTGTGTTAGAAAATATCGATATTACCACATTCAACAACTTATACTTATAAAAAATCAACAATTTCGCCTACAATTCATATATATTATTACAACGCGAATTGCAGTTTTTCCTACTCTTTTCTATAAATTTATATCATATCCATTTTCCTTCCAGAATAATAAATACATTACCACAAAAAGAAAGCAAGAAAGAAGTTATTTCCTCTAAATCTTTTAACCATACATACAAGATTTTTCATTGTGCGTAAGAACGCGGTACTATGTAAAACGTATCCGGTTCATCGGATAACGAACATTATCTCCCGTTCTCGAGGCTCGGCATGTAAACAAGACAGTATAAAATCAATGGTCGGAACAAGTAAATTCATTTATGCAAGTATGTCGATGCATCTTAAGGGGGCACGATTACCAGCACGAGGCTGGTGACGTACCACGTGAGCGCACGTACATTTATCACAGACATTGCGGCGACTCGCGATCATGCCTCGGAGCCACGACAATAAAGGCAAAAGATCGAGAAGAAGGTACGTAAGAAGCGGCATCGCGTGCCAAGTCCCGCTGAGAAGAGGCAGATAGGTCTGTTCGCATTAGCATAACTAGGCAACCAACTTCAATATGTACAAGAAGTCATCGAAGAAGCGGACACCACCCATTTGATTCCTTCGATCGGCATCCTTAATCAGCGCCGCTCTTATTACGAGCCGTTATATTCTGCGGGCGCAACCGTCTGTTCGCCTCTATCTATACCTGCGTCCCGCTTTTCCTGAATACCTTCCACTTTTATACCTGCATCCTTGTTCAGCTTCGCGCAATCACGCGGAGCAACGTGGCGGACACTCTGCTCTGTCTAAGAGGTGCAAGAATATCGCAGCATCCAATAGAAAGAGGACGGAGACTCGGAATAAAAGAAACAGAACGAAAAGGAAGACGATCCGCGAGAGGTAGAGCTGATAAAAAGAAGTAGAACCCGATATGGAGAAACTCTGCTGACACTTGAAGGGTAGGCTATACTCTTTATTTATTATACGTATAAATGTAATGCGACAATGTGAAAATGCGATCATACAACAGGAGATTAGTGAAGCAGGTGGGGCGAGCACCATCTCAATTTCGCGCCAATTTATCTCTCGGATGTAACATCCGCGCAATAAAGTATTTTATGCAAAAAACTTTTAGAGAATGCTTCTTGAGAGATCGAAGGAGATTGATTTGAGGATCAAGAAACAAATCGAAGCCACGTTAATCTACAGATCCGCTGTCAAGAATAAGCTAATGCAAGGGAAACCTTGTAGCACTCTGCTGTGTTGTATTCTTTGACTCAACTGGTTAATTTGTTGAAAAGCATAATTGCTTTTGAATATACAACACACGTGCGCTGATAACTTGGTTTTATCTACTCTACACAGCATAAGTAGATAAAACCTCTGTTACTTTTAGAATATGCAGTAGGATTCTTCCTATTTAGAAATCATCTCCGTATAGTCTCATTTGAGTTATTTAATTGTTCGCAGATGTAGCGTGGAAGCAACAACGTCTATGGTTTCTACGGTGACGGCTAGTTTTCAAATACGTCTCAAATATATCCAGAAATCCTTGGAAAGAATGTATTTCAACCCTACCTGTCACGTTATAAACCATGCAGTCCCAACACAATAACACCTACGAATAATCGGACAACATAACTTTCACTTAAGTCACACATAAAACTTCAAAAACAAATAACTCCAAAACTTTTAATCTGACCCTATATGGGGGGGGGGGCGATTTCTAAAAAGGAAAAAGACTTCTAATAGAAGCCTACTATACATATGTCCTAAAAGGTTCATTAAAATCGACGACCCGAAGTTAAGGCCTTCTTGTGAAACATATACCTAATTATACGGTTTAATGCGTTCCAAATACTCGAATATGGCATTAGTATTGCAATCAAGTAAAATCATACATCAATACCTCCTATAAATGGTGATTTCAAATTGTGAAAGTATTGATCCATAAAATTCTGTCGCAAGGACCACAGTTTCTACCACGTCCGCTACATTGAAAGTGTCCTAACCATCCTTAAGTCGACGGACAAATCTTTCACGTCGAATCAAACTTCAATATACAAATCTGTCAGGAAGAATGGGTATCCGGCAAGCCGGCGAAAACACGAGCGACATTACATGACAGCAGGCAGAGCGAAAGACGTGGCCGGACACAGACGGGCTTCCGAGTAGCTTTGTGAGAAGGAGTTTCCGAGAGGGCACGGACGAAAGTAGAAGCGAGAACGAGGGATTTACGATCCCGACGGTACCCATGGTTATTCCATAGTTTGCAACAGTTAGTTATTTCTTGTTTGCGATGTTGGCAACACGTTTTAGTATCCATAGATGGCAGGGCGGCCCTTCAGTCAGTTCTGCCAACGCAAAAATCTCGCATTGATTGATCGCCTTGCAACGGCAGCCAGCAAGAAAACCTCTCTGGTATAGGCCGCAGAAAAGAGAAAGGGGAACGGTCGGTCGGGAGTAGACGGAAGGAAGGAGAACTGAAAAGAAATGAGGGGAAGATAGTCGGGAGAGAAAGAGGCACGATAAACCGGTAAAAAATGAAGATAAAGAAAACAGTACAGAGGCCGATGTTGTCCCTGACATACACACAGAATGAAAAACCACTGGAATGAGACTCGGCAGATAGCGCCTTGCGGGTTTTTAATATGTTCATAATGCGAGCACGTTTTTGGGGGGTCTGTTGCTTCGGACCACCTCTAGATCATCGACTTCTTTGCGGGGGGGGGGGTGGGGGGGGGGGGGGGGGGGGGGCTTCTTCGGGACGGAAGCTAAACACTTTTTGCTGGTCCTTGGTCCAGTGACGTAAAATATGTCTCTGTTCGCGATCGGACCACGAAAGTTCCTGAGCTTTTTAGCAGTCCTGCGAGACTGGGTGTCTGTGCGGAATGTTGATGGACCGTCATCGACGCTTCGGATGGGGCTATTACGCGAACACTTCGAACACTTAGCGTTTACATGTCAACTCCGGAACCTCTTTTAAACGCGACACCTTTATACGATAATAGTAACGGACAATTAAACTGTTAGACGAAATATACTGTCTGCGTTTAGAGAAGAAATTGATGTTTAAGAAAATATCTTATGCAAGAATAACGATACAATATATAGAGTAGAGTTTAGTACAAAAACATGTCTAATAGTTTTCTGCTGCACGTAAAACATCATCCAGAAAGTGAATCTACCAATCGGACAATGTTGCTACATTAATTATTAGAAAACCTTTAACAAATTATTAAAATGCTACAGTAAATCACCGATTATCCGAACAAATAGGGAGATAAATCCGTTCGAATAAGCTCTTTTTCGGGTAATTAGTCCAGTAGAAGCAAATTCTGATATACAGTATGGCCTATGAACTCTGCCACCCTGAAATATCTACGTTATTCAAAATTCACTCATTGAGAATCTTGCTGATATTAAGAGATGTCAAAAGCACAAGCATGCTATTTCGTCCCTACTCTTTGTTTACATTCGAAATACTACGCACATATTCAAACATGTTTCATAACGAAATTAATAGGATGAATAAAGTCAAATATCTCAGAAACGGTAAGTTTTAGGATAAATGTATTTTAGTACTTTTATACTCAGAAGTCGCTATTCTATAGAAATCAAGCATAAAGAATTTAACATTCCATTTATAAAACAAAATTGACATCCACATTTCCTCTACGGATCCACCTGTTAAGAGACCATTATTATTACATTGTACCTTGCTTTAAATCTTACAACTTGTGTTAGTAACATTTTCACGGATTGTTTAAAACAACGAAGATATTTGAAGTGGACTGAGTTCGTGGGACACACTATAGGGACACACTGTCATGAAACGATTAGAAAGAAAATAATTTTGACAAATGGATGTTTATTGCATGAAAAATCGCATAATATACCAAATAAATATGTGAATTGCACAGAACAACCACTTCTTCAACTTGTATTTTCTTCAACAAGAATAGATGAAACAATATCAATATATTGTATTATCATTTAAAGCATTGTATAATTTACTTTAAAATCGTTTAAGAACAACAGATGGTATATTTCCCGTGCTACTTTCAACTTTCAACATTCGTACCCTGTTCTGTGCTCCGATAATATAATCGGTATCTGGAATGATCGGTACTTTCGATATCGACATCCGAATAATTGTATTTCTACTGTAATCATTTTAATTAATTTCAGGACATTATATATGTAATCTCGTACATTTTTTAGGATGTAAGTTTGAAGACTGACCAGATTATACAGACACAAATATGGAATTAGTAGAATACTGTGAATATCCTGTTTTCGAAGAAATGAAGTCCTATATGAAAATTTAATCCTACAGCGTTAACTTGTTTATGAACTAAGAGTCTATTTTCATTCAAGTTTGTTCTTCAAATTCCATGTGGTAATTTTCTCGTTTTTAAAGTTCATAATTCTCCGCATGTCTTAAGAGAATTATTATATTGAAATAAATTCGTATTTAATATAATTGACAAACTCTTAAAGTGTACGTAAGTGATAACGGATATAACTTAATATCCATAAACAGATGTAACGGACGAGTCACAATTAATATCATTCGTTTGTTACTCACCATTAGAGTAAAGCAGATGTAAGCTGTATTGGATTCCATTATTCGTTTTCTGGCCTTCGGACTCCTGAAAATAAACATATAATGTTTACTTTTATTACGACTAATTTCTAAGCGCTACCTCATTATTGAATAACATGAAAATTATACCAGTTAAATATAATTGCTGTAATTAGTAGATGTACCAACGTGTAGTGCATTCTTTGTTTTTAATAAAGGAACAGGAAATTTGAGACATCTTACCAATGTTTAACATAGTCAACATAACGTAGGACATTGCAAAAAAACACTACAAATTTGTTGAAAGAGCGTAAGTTTTTAATTTTTTTACACATTAAGATTAATTGATGTAAACCAATGCATTACTCTTTGATGCTCCTAAAGTATTTATCGAAGAATTAAATACATTAAACACTTAAATATATTGCATTTTACATTGTATACAATTTATCTACAATGATGCTTAACCCCTAACTGTTTCCTAGATGAATAACGACTACTTTGTGACACTATTAATAACCAACCGAATGTTATTTTTCGCTACCGTTTTAGAAATAGTGTGCCAGTTACTGTTAATTAAAGGTACTCAACGTTAGTCTTCCAAAATTCTTCACAGTGGTATTGAAATATAAATTCAGATTTGTGTATGAGATGGGTGGTCAGTAATTAAGAGTTAATATCATTATATTCATTTTCTGCAACAATGACATAACTAAAAATTTGCAGTTTTTGTGCTATTAGTACAGAAAAAATGGTTGTTGTCTGCACTTTAATATGCTGTTCGTATAAAATTATAGCGGTCAAAAAACATTCAAACTCGTTTTATCTAAAATTCTAATTTTTGAGTTATGTCGTTATTGTAACAGATGAGCGATATGAGTATCACAGTCATAACTCTCAAACTTAAATGCATCAACGCCACTCCCAATCAATTAGAATTATATTTGACGAAGTTGCGCATGCCAACGCCTTTCTCACTTACGGACCGTGCAACGATAGCATTATTTCATTACGCTGATATAAGGCGAAGGTGAACGTTAAATCTCGTTAATCTCGCTAAATTTCGTGCAGCCTTAAATCGGTTCAAATGAGCGGAAACGCGAAGGAACGAAGGCTCGCCCCGCGTTCTTCGCGCCCCGTTTCTATTTTAATTAAGTGTGCCGTGACGTAACTCTCGCGCGCACGGCCTGCTCCACCTCGCCCTAATTATTAATTTCTTGATGTGCCGGTAAGAGCCCGGCCATTACGTATGGCGTGCAATGCATAATTATCATCCTGCCATGTTGACGAGTCATGCGTGCATCGCGCCATATGCCGCGACCACCGGTAATGCATTTTCAACTATCTATCTCTGAAACACCTACGAATGAACCCTCGGCCTCGTGGACACGACTTTCAGGCTTGCGCACGATCTTTTGGCCCCGAGGATAACCGTAGCAGTCGCATCGATTTCGCGTAAAATTAATGTAATTAGACGGACCAATTCGTCGGCTCTATGTTACTCGATCAATAAACATCGCGTGATCGATAGTAGACTTGCATATTAAGTGCGTCTGATAGAATATTTTCTACAGTGTGTAACAACATGGTGCAGGTCCCTGAAATGGGACAATCGTTAGGCGATTTGGAACAAGTTTTTCCTTAGCAAAAATGTTATCCGAGGCTTTGTTAATGAGATATTAAATAAAAACCCTGACCAATCAGAGCACGAGTCTTCCGCGGTAATGTTGTCTACGCGCTGCGATTGGTAGTCAACGTTACCGCGGAAACTCGGCCCGCAGACTCGATTTTTTTGCTCTCTTTGATTGGTCAGGCATTAATAGCTCGGTAACAAAGCCTCGGATAACATTTTTGCTAAGGAAAAACTTGTTCCAAATCGCCTCGTGAGTGTTCTATTTCAAGGACCTCCAACATTTTTGTTACACCCTGTGTATTCAAATAAGCATCCGAGAAATTAAGTTCATGTACAATGTGACATAGATGCATCTACGTTCATTTTTCGGATTAAAACATAAGGCTATATTCAAAAAAATAATGTTAACCCTCAAACACCAAACCTCATCTCAACATACGTAAACACCACAGTAATGTGAATTGAGATTTTGAATTTTGGATGGCTAAGAATTTGAAGAGAATAAAAGAAAATTGAACTCGTAAGATATTGTTTAGGGTAAAATTTCTTTATAAATTCAATGGTAATAATTGCAAAAGTGAGAAATAATTTTGTAACTATGAAAATTTGAAACCCTTATGCTAGCCAAATAAAAAAAACGGTACAGACGAAACAATGTCTTGTTGGTGCAACTTCGTACTATGCAGTGCGGTGTCTGTGAAAGTTAAGTCTCTTAAGAAAGTTTTCAATACTTTTGAACCCCTGACAAAATAAAATCTCACTCAGGAATACCTACCTAAGTTTTCAAACCATTTTTTAACCCGTAACTAGACATGTGAAATTTTGGTGTACGCACAGTCACATGCCGTCTGTGAGACTGGTATTTCTAGAAAGGGGTAGAGAAACGAAATTCGGACAACATTCCTTAGAAGTCAACATAAATTGATCTTAAATATTTATTCTTAAAAAACCCATGTCTTCGTGGAGTTTGAGAGCGTGCTCCTTTTGGAATTACTAGAGAATTTATAAACGAACAATTAAGAGTTAAAACAATCTTAGATAAATTTGCAGATTAAGAATTCTTCGAATCTGTAGTAATGAAAACTTTTCACTGACATATATATAATTATACGAAGTATAACAACGAAGTAACAGTACCTATACACACGAAGGCGTGTGAATACAGTTTAACCCCTTCAAGGACAACAGTGGTACGCATACGTAGCTATCACCATTTTTTCTCAGTTTTTTTTAATGTGTCTGATGTATTTCGCAATTTATATTCACATATCAATAGTTTTTCGACTCTTAGGAATCCAATTTATATAACTTTTATGAAAAATTACATTACTTTAATTATTTGCAATTCTTAATAAACAATCAATGTGTATATTTTTTAAGAATTTTCTGCACGCTAGTTTTTCCGAAATAAATTTTTTAATTTTCGTAAAGTGAACTTTTTTAAAAATCTATTTAATATTTATTATTTGCATTAATATATATATATTGTTTACACATACATATCATGTATTTGCATACATCTGAGAGTATATGGAATGTTTTTTTTAGATTCGTACTCTGACACCTCGAAAACATTTGTATACACATTCCTTTCAAAGAATAATCAAAATCTCTAAAAATTAGTGTCTTACGCACGCCATATTGAACCCCCAATTTTACATTTGGTAATTCTGGCCTGAAAGTCGTAATCAACAACCCCCAGAACCTGTAGATCACCTATGGTTTGAATGTTTCGTTCAACAGAGAAATGTGTCCCTGAACGGGTTAAACTGTGAACACAAACGTGCCCGAGTACCTACATAAACTAGTCCATTCTGTTCTCTTCAAACCGGTGGAAAGTATAGAGATCATGTTTCTCCTAAACTCTAATCCCGGCGCACCGGATAATCATCGTTACATCGTTGACGGATCGACATCATTCTTCTCTTTTTCTCGGTTGGTGTATACGCATTAAGCTGATTCCTGTCGCGAGCGTTCGTCACGGCCATTAATCTCTAAATTCGCAGGCGCACGACGGACGTTAATCAGGTATATACGCGGCGGCTCGACCGATTTACGACTACTTTTTAATTAAACACGGATAAAAAGCGGATAGAATGGACAACGAACGCGGAGACCCTGTATTTACGTAGGGCATCAGTTTCCGGGAATTGTGCGGCTGTCATCGCGGTGACACGCATTATAGACAGGCTGTTATGTCGCGATTCCCAGCCAATGATAGGCGTTCAATTGGTCGACGATCGTTCTCATTTCGCTTAAATAATTCAACACCAATAGTATATTATATGTACGTGTACATGCACATGAATGTTTGTATATCTTGAATTGGATAAGGCGGGGTGAGAACAGGCGTAGGTGCGCTCGGGCACAAACGGCTACTCGACACTGGGACTGATCTATGTTCGCGGTGTGTGACCCTAATTAATAGGGAGGCTATGCAACGCAACTGTCCTAGTCATGTGAATTATAGATAGACGTGCTCGTATCAAGGGTGGGGCGCAATGGAGATATCAGGATAAGCGATGCAAATCGAAGTGAACAAATAGAAAGTACACTTGCTCACTGACTTGCAAATGAATCACTTTGGATGATCGTTTATTTGTTGATCCGTTCGTAGTACAAGTACATCCAAAGCCAATTGAATTAAAGGAGCTCCCTACACATTGGAATATGAGGAAAATCGACAATCTTCGCTGAGGATTTTGTAAATTGTTCTGAATTGCCGTACGTCTTGTCAAGAGGTGAATAGTTTTTGTGTCGTGAGTGGATTACAGTATTTTTACTTGAACTACTTAGTTCGTAGATAATGCGTAATATCCAATAAATCTCGCATTCCTATGTAAAATCAAAATTCAACGAAACGAATCATTAAAATATCAATATGTAGTACCTACAATATAGAACGAAACACAAAGAGCTTAAAACAAACAACAATGCAGTATAATTTGTAAAAGTAACAGTGACACTTTCGTATTCTGTAATATTTTCATCAGTTGAATTTCATTTAATAGATGCATTGTCACTTAAATTAATTTCAGCAAGACCATCGATACATTTTAGTAGACAGCAAACTTAATAGATGGTTGCAGTAGACACTATGTATTATAATCAAGGAAATTATATTATTAAGTTTACTACACATGTATATCAAAAAAGTTCATCTGAGTAATTATACACTGTGGAAATACTAAATAATAAAATATTTCCTTTTGATAATAAATATATTGGATGTAACACTGAACGATATGCAGAAAATAAATTAATTAATTCCTATGGACGAAGTACTGATAAATTAATTATAGAATACTGAGACAGCATTTAAGGAACACTTAATGCCAAAAAAAAATGAAATGTCGTAATGCATCAGTTGGTTACATTGACAGAAAATTTAAGACGAGAATGTTTTTACAAACAGGTGTGCGTAATTAGTCCAA